CTCTTGCATTTAAGCCAAATACACGCTGAAAATAATAATTTTACTGAAATCTGGACATAAGTCACTGTTCTTTCCACAATCGCTGATGAAATCGGCCGTGTTTTCTCTGAATTAGGCTGTTTTGAACTTACTGTTGGAATTCGTTTACTGGGTCCTTGGACTTTGCAGGAGTTTAAAATGATTTGATCGCAAAAGCCTTAAGATATTATTTTCGTTATAAAGTACTGATTCAAATTAGTAATCAATAATTAATTATTATTCTACTACTCTGCGTGCCTCCCCTGACATGATCTCGCGCCCTACACACTCCGCTTGCATTCATTCACGTGATTGGTCGAGATGAGAAGTGATCCCGCCTGGGTAGTGTGATTTATATAGTGTGCCGGTACGCACAAAAAAGTGCAGGTACTCTAAAGGCTAAAATATAGAAGTGCTAGTATAGATACTGCGTACCGGCCCACTTCAAGCCCTAGTTGTCAATAGTGTAGTGGTTTATGAAGCACTCTTCACATCACAGAGACATTACTTTCAAGCCAAGCAGATTTCAGTTGGGTCCGTGTACTTTTGCGTCCATTCATTCATTCATTCCATTCGTTTTTTAACTATAAACGAACTACTGTATTTTTAAATGCTATGCTGAAAACCAAAATTGTACACACAAAATGCTGCCCAAAAAAGTGAAATATTGACTTCTTTTCAGATTTTTGTTTGACTTCTTGCACCTTTAATTAACATTTTCAAAATGCACAAATTAATTGAACAATGTCAATTTTACAAGTTTTCTTTGGCCAAATTATTTAGAAGTAATGCTTTTCACAGACGTTTTCACAGAAACAATGCAGAGACCTAATACATTAGAGACCTAATACTTCAAAATCTGATTTTAAAACAGACATTGCAGAATTCTGGGAACTTTATCATTATGAAATTATATGTTGTGGTATAATTTTGTCATAATTTTAAATGATGTGTGCTATCTGGGTAACCCTATCAGAGATGGTCGCTCAAAGCATGTACAGTTCATCGTGTTAGAGCACTATACACAGGAGGTTTTAATATGGTAAATATAGAAATATAATATAGAAATATATAAAGTTATAATTTCTCCTACTTCTCTAGATACAGGCAGACCCGTTTCCAGAATCAAATCACTGAGACTTCTGAAAATTAGTGAGAATGCTCTAGCCTTAATGCAGCCTACATCTATTTTGACATATTTTTGCCTTGTCTATTGTTATGGTTATCACTATTATTGCATTGAGGGTGACATCCACATATAAATGCCGCATTTATATGCAAATGTCACTCCTGAAACTTTGCAGCGTGTAAGCGGTCACTGGTCCTCTTAGCATCATGAAAAACAAAACTTATTCTGAATGGATTGTAACCAAGAAAGCGCGCAAAGAGCAAGCAAAAAGCGTAGCTCGTTTCAGTTTATCGTGATCTCACAAAGTTCCGTTATAATCAATGAAGCTGTACACTGCACAATGAATCTCTTACTTACATCATGTTACACTTTGTTTGTTATGAGACTCCCGAGCATGCAGCGCTGAACAAAACTGTGGTGTTTTGAGTGGATTCTAACTTAACCCTTTAAACCCGAGACCCCCATGAAAACAAATCATAATCAAATTACTAAGCAACCACTGAATGAAATAACACACAATAGGTATCATTTTAAAGCTTAAAAACACTTTTTAATGAATGTAATTATTTTCACCTCTTCAATGAGTGCCAAGTAGTCCCTCTAAAACGGAGTGTACCACGGGCGGGACGCCCCCCTCCTCTGCGAAAAATTACTAATCATATTTTTCAAACCACTGCCTTGATCAACTAAAAATGGATATCATTTGAAAGCTTAGAGTTTGAACTTTATGTTTGTGGATGTAGCCAATTTGAAGTAGTGCTGAGTTATTTGCTGATAAATGAAAAAAATTAATTCCATAATTTACTAAATGTTTTTTTGTTCCATGTACTCTAATATATCAAAAACATCATACAGCTCAGATACTCATATGTCATTTGAAAGGTCTCACAGAGCAGAATAAAACAAGCATAATTGTTTGGGGCTTTGACTAAATTCAGCGAGGCATTACTTCAATTTCAAAACTGTCAAGGGCTAAGAAAAAGGCGACCTTGGTTCCAAATACTGTGATTACTTCATGATATCACCAAAACAATTTATTCACATACAGCTCACATGTTGACAAGAATTTTTCCCCTACCTTATTTCTTTCCTGAAATATTGAATGTCAAATAAGAAAGATATGAAAAATTTCCCTTAAGCACACTAATTTTTCGTACGCTTTTATCAGCTATTTCTCAGCAGGAGAATGTCCAAATGTAAAGATTTTTTTTCCTAAAAATACAAAGTTTTCTATCAAACGGTACCTACCTTTTGACTCTCATTGCTACAGTTTTGTGTGAAAAAACATCTCATACATGTTTTTTAGGCGTGAAAAATTATCAAGATCATAAAAACATCAAGACAAAGGTTTTCATAAAGCAATAGTTTACCGGTAAGCACATCAGTAGCGCGAGAGGGCGCTTATGGCATCTGTATAGAGACGCTAAAAAAGCTAGAAATTAAATTGAGCATTTATATACAGTACATAAAAAAAACAAGCTTTATATAATTTTTATGATTTTTAATGAAATATGAATTTTGAATAATAAAAAAAATGTTTGTGTCTGCTTATTCTATTCATCAATGTTTGAACCACTACAGAAAAAAACGCATTTTCCGTATTTCATTTCTGGGTTAAAAAAATTAAAAATGAATGGACGCAAAAGTACTGTTGGCCAATGGCGAATTCGCTTGATCACACAATATTTAAACATATGACAAATGTACATGTTTTTTTTCTTCTCTTGCAGCTATGATGAGAACTTGTTGCTCTGGGATGGGAGGAACATGAAGCAGCCCTTGAGTGAGACTGCAGTGGGTGGAGGTGTGTGGAGACTCAAGTGGCACCCCAGTCAAGAGCACCTGCTGCTAGCAGCATGCATGCATAATGATTTCCACATTCTCCACTGCCAGAAAGCTATGGGTAAGAATTACACTTACTGATGTGCCCCTTTGTTTGTAAATTACAAAATGTACACTACTGGTCAAAAGTTTGGGGTCAGTGTTTTAGTTTTTTTATTCAGCAAGAATGCATTAAATTGATCAAAAGAAACAGATATACATGTTATTTCTATTTCAAATAGTTGTTGTTGTTGTTTTTTTTTTACAAAAATGTATCATGGTTTGCACAAAAATATTAACCAGCACAACTGTTTTCATCATTATTAATAATAAGAAGTGTTCCCCGAGCATATTAGAATGGTTTCTGAAGGATCAGGTCACACTGGAATAATGGCTGCTGATAAAATGTGCTAAAATAGAAAACGGTTCTTTTAAACTGTAATAATATTTAACAATATTACAGTTTTTACTGTATTTCTGATCAAATAAATGCAGCCTTGGTGAGTATAAGACACTTCTATCAAACATATTAAGAATCATACTGACCCCTAACTTTTGAACATTCTTGATTTTGAATTCTACTCTTAATGCTTTTTTTTTTCTCCCTGATATTCATGTTTGTAGAGGGACAAGATGCACCATGCCCAGTTCTGGCCTCCTATATTCTACACAACTCCTTAGCATATGGAGCAGACTGGTCCAGACTCCCCCTAAGCAACTCCACGCCCCCCTCTCCTCAAGAACCTCCCCAAACCAGCGTTGGGCTCACAGAGTCTGGAGGCCATCTCAGGATCCAGTATGAATCGCCCACCGGCAGCTTTGACACCTCTCTGGAGGACGACTCGGGGCGGTACATACCCGACCAGTGTTCTTTACCAGAAAAAAGTTCAATTCCAGACCCCTTCACCAGCCCTGCTAGAGACTCCCAGTCTCTGTCCTGCCTGATGGCTACCTGCTCCTTCTACGACCACATGATGCACGTGTGGAGATGGGACTGGAGCCCAGAGGAACAACAGAAGCCGTCTGAACCCGCCCCCTCTTCCTGAGCACAGCCGATATGATGGGCTTTAAAAAGCTTTTAAGTTGAGGTTATTTGGACCTGCACATTTCGATGCATTGTGTTGCTGTAACATCTACAGTATTGCTTAGCACTCAGTATATGCAATTTTTAGATACTCTATCTTTATTTCAACTGAATGTCAATTTCTGACTATATATTTTAGCTAGAAAATGTAAAGGACCTTTTCTAGTTTTACATTGAGAACCAGACAAAGACCTTTTATAACAAATAAACCACAACCCTATTAATAAATACAAGTGTCTACATTTATTTCTTTTGTAAAATTGTGTTTCTCTAAGGTTGGGGTTTTAAATGTTTTAAATACCCCCAAATATGATTATACCTTTGCAAGAGACCCCCATCCTAAAATTTAAGAGGCATCTATATTTCTGGTTTCTACTTACATTATAAAAGAATATTATTATTATATATCTAAAATATTATTTGGACAATATTTAGTTTCTATTTAGGTACACAGTATTTTTCTTTTCTTAATCACCGTAGTAATGTTTTATTAATTTACTCTATTTAATCAAACGTTTGTTTAAAAAAAACATTTTTTATTATATCATCTTTTATGATCTAATGTATAATAATATTTTTTTTTACAGCATATGTCTAAAGTATTATTTGGAAAATATTCAGTTTCTTGCAAGTTGCATAGTTATGTTTTCTTTTCCTATAATCATAGTGCTGTTATAGTACTATATTTATTTATTTTATTTACTTATTTATTTGAATCCATTTATTTAATCAAAAGTTTGTTTATTCATCGATTTTTTTTCTTTACTCATCTAATTGTCATTTTTATTGAAATCTGATTTTTATATTTTTCTGTAAACATTTCCATTGACCCCAACCCCAGTTCGAAATTATTCACTGGCAATATATCAGTTTTGCTAAGGGTTGGACCATATTTTCATTCCAGTAGTTTTTTTAGAATTTCCAGAAGAGCTAAATATGAAATGGTTTTAATTTTTCATGACTTCTGTTCATTGAAAAGTTTAAGAAAACATCACACACTTGTTTACAGTCCATCAGCAAATCACTGAAACACAAAGTCCATTTAACGAACAAAGTTCCTGGGATGCATCTTGAACAGCTTCCCCTCTTGTGTTTTCTCTAATCCATATTTCTCAAGATTCTCCTCATTGAAAACCCCTTCTTCAATGTCTCTCTCGATCTGTGGGGCCACCACTTGATTGAAGAGCATCTCTGGAGTCATGGGGTGCTCTGTCCCTGATGGGGTCTTGTATGACACATACGGTTTCAGGTTAAATCCTTCCAGATCGGGCACCACAAACGCTGGTATCATGGCCTGTACAGGTATGAACTTTCTGCTGGAGGTGAGGACTCCAGTGGGTCTGGCGCCTCTGCTCTTGTAGAATGTCCTGGGCCCGCGCTTGCTCGTGAACTCAGCCATTCTGTCAGCTCCTCTCACGAGCCCCCGTGCCAGAGCTGACAGCACCCCCATTTTACAGTGATTTAACTGCAGCAACAACCTGTTCAGAAATCATTTTATTTTAATTATGTTTAGAACAATTTCATAACATTACTTAGGCAAATTAATTAAATTTTTAACAATGTTACACTATACATCACATTGTTTGAATGAGATATAAACTGAATACAATTTTACAGTAGTAACAAAAATGGTAGTATTTCTGTTATTTGGGCATGAACTGGTTGCAACAGTATGTTAAGAAGGAGTTACAGCAGCTGAACTGATGCTCCATGTGCAGTTGTAGGTTGGCACTCAGCATGAACATTGTAGATATTAATACATATTAACTGTCATCATTAATAAATGATGTATCAAGAATGACAACAAAATTAACGTCTTGACATCGTTTTAAAGGTCGTCTTACTTTTTAGAAACACTGGCTCAAAATGAAGAATGAAAGCTATTACAGATGTGCTGTCAAAACAGTTCGCGATAAAATAACGAAAACGTTGCTGGCCACGTATAAAGTATAATGTAATGAAATATAATGTAGAAATCAATAAAAAGACACACAGTAACCTTGGACAGTGTGCTACTGTGCTTTCAAGAAGATCACACTGTAGTCCCACGTTAAGCGTGGTAAAGAAATCCACTGTGATTGGCCAGATCAGCATGGAGAGAGCCAGTAGGAGCAGCGAATACTGATTAGCGGCTTTGCGTTCGTCCTCGAGAGTGTTGCCATGTCCGATTGTTATTTACATTTACATTTAGTCACTTAGCAGACGCTTTTATAGTAAGCATGAACATTGTAGATATTAATACATATTAACTGTCATCATTAATAAATGATGTATCAAGAATGACAACAAAATTAACATCTTGACATCGTTTTAAAGGTCGTCTTACTTTTTAGAAACACTGGCTCAAAATGAAGAATGAAAGCTATTACAGATGTGCTGTCAAAACAGTTCGCGATAAAATAACGAAAACGTTGCTGGCCACGTATAAAGTATAATGTAATGAAATATAATGTAGAAATCAATAAAAAGACACACAGTAACCTTGGACAGTGTGCTACTGTGCTTTCAAGAAGATCACACTGTAGTCCCACGTTAAGCGTGGTAAAGAAATCCACTGTGATTGGCCAGATCAGCATGGAGAGAGCCAGTAGGAGCAGCGAATACTGATTAGCGGCTTTGCGTTCGTCCTCGAGAGTGTTGCCATGTCCGATTGTTATTTACATTTACATTTAGTCACTTAGCAGACGCTTTTATACAAAGCGACTTACAAATGAGGACAATAAAAGCAGTCAAAACTAACAAAAGAGCAACAATGTATAAGTGCAAATGACAAGTCTCGGTTAGCCTAACACATAGCAAGGTGTGTATATATATATATATATATATATAATACACACACACGTATATACACACACACAAACAAAGAAATACAAGTAGATATAATAGAAAAAATAGAAAGCTAGTGTTTTGTTTTTTTTAAATAAAGAACAAAAAATAAAAAAGATAAATATAAAGTAGAATTATAATAGAATAGAAAGTGTTGGAGTTATAGGGTCAAATAAAGATGGAACAGATGTGTTTTTAGTCATTTCTTAAAGATGGCTAAGGACTCAGCTGCTCGGATTGATTTGGGCAGGTCATTACACCAGGAGGGAACAGTTAATGAAAAAGTCTGTGAAAGTGATTTTGTGCCTCTTTGAGATGGCACAATAATATGCCATTCACTTGCAGAATGCAAGCTTCTAGAGGGCACATAACTCTGAAGTAATGAACACCTGTATATATATATATATATACACACACACAAAATAAGTAGATGGAATACATAAAATAGAAAGCTAGTGTTAGTTTTTTTATATATAAAAAAGAAGATAAATAGATAAAGTAGAATTAAAATAGAATAGAAAGTGCTAGAGTTAGAGGGTCAAATAAAGATGGAACAGATGTGTTTTTAGTAATTTCTTAAAGATGGCTAAGGACTTAGCTGCTTGGATTGAGTTGGGCAGGTCATTCCACCAGGAGGGAACAGTTAATGGAAAAGTCTGTGAAAGTGATTTTGTACCTCTTTGAGATGGCACAATAATGTGTCATACACTTGCAGAACGCAAGCTTCTAGAGGGCACATAACTGTGAAGTAATTCATTTAGGTAAAGGGGTGCAGAGCCAGTGGTGGTTTTGTAGGCAAACATTAATGCTTTGAATTTTATGCGAGCAGCTACTGGTACCCAGTGCAAGTTGATGAACAGAGGTGTGGCGTGCGTTCTTTTCGGCTCATTAAAGATTAATCTTGCAGCGGCAATTTGGATTAATTGTAGAGGTTTGTTATAAGTTTCTTTGGGTTTGTTTTTTTATATATATTACTGAGTCGCAAGTTGCATAGTTTTTAAAATTATAAAACAAATATTTATTTAAATTATTGGAATTAAAATATATGTATAATTATTAAAAAGACATTAATTTGCAAAAAGTTGCAGTTTATCACAGGCTAATATATAGGTTTATGATAGAGTACATCTCCGATCAGTGAAATTAAAGCATTTCTGTTGCTCCATAATCCAAATCCCCAACGTAAGAAACTGGGCTCGTTTAGGCTTATTTTGGGCCTGTTTAATCGGACTGTGTGGATTGTTTTCTTGAAGGATCTGGCTAATCGGTGGGGGACTGACATCGTGAATGGAATTCTTGGGAGACTTTAAAGTGCATTGAGAGTGACAAAAACAGATTGAAAACGCCGTTCCGATGGTATTTTCCATTTATTTATTGACATTATTTGCATGTATGATCTTCGCGTCATACAACCACATAATGTTTTTACAATGTTGTGATTACAGTGATTAACAGTGTATTTGATTACAAGTGCATGTTTACAGCCGCGGCTTGTGTGTAAACAACAGAACCACATCCCTCCTGCAGCCCGGCCTAAAGCAATCTAATTCTCATTTCCAATGTTTTTTCCATTCTGTGCAACACACTTGAAATTGAAGTTTTAGCGTCACCTTCGCCCTGCTTTGAGCGTTTGACCTTTCCCCCCTAGCAGAGGGTCTCATGAATCACATACAGAGTATCAGACTGCAAAGAGGGATGACAGGCAGTATCAGATGATTCCCTGATTCAGGTTGTTACAGACAGAATCACTGTCATTTTCATTTGTAGTTTTGTAAAAAGAAAAAAAGAAAAATTTAAACAATGTTGCCATTTTTAAACATTTTGAAAACTGAAGAAATATTAGAGGTGAAATACAAATACATACTATTTGATGGTAATGGTGTCAACAGGCCATCATGACTATGTGCTGGGAGATTCAAATTGCAAATATTTTCCCATCACATTTGTTGCTATGACACATTTTGGAAAGTGAACTGCTGTTGTATGAAGTTTTAACTCCTATTTAGTAGAAATAGGTATTATGCTATTTTAATGTTATAATTAACAGTGGGTCTCTGAGGGTTAAGCATGTACATAGAAATTGCTTCATGCCTCTTTAATAGGCGTAAGGCATTGTATATTTTAAGAACATTGTGAGTTATAAAATAAGCATGATGTAGATAATTCGATTTTTAATTTGTGTCAAATGTGTGGATTTCTACTTTCTCCTTACTGTAAGATATGGAAGAAAAAGATGATGTGCACGATATATATCCGGTAATATATTGTTTTTGATTTTAAACAACTGGCTAACACCCAGTGAATGTGAGTGTTTGTGAACGAATAAATACATATATAAAGCCAGGCTATTTACTATTAATCATCCTTCCTGCTAAAAGGATCTGCAGTACACTTCTTAAAGAGACGTATTTTACTTATAAGAGTAAACTGGACTTTGTCCAAAAATATCTGTCTTGTAATTTACACAGTGAAACAATCATTGACCAGGACTGTGTTCAGAGAAGCTCCCCATTTCCTAGATCAACCTCACCTGAGATTGAAAAAGTAACCGTTATGTTAGCAGATTTGGTCCTATTGGGCAGGCTCTTTTCCTGTGTGGTTTATAATGATGATTTTGTTGTGTTTTTGGTAGCTAGTGCTGCCATCTGGGAGTGAGATCAAGGCTCGCATGCAGCAATCCATAGAGGATCAGTTACAGAGCACCATGGTATATGACAATTCCACCTATGTTTTAGTGACTCAGTGGTCCGAATTGTTTGTCTTACAGACAAGCTTTATTAATGTCTTTATTGTCATTTCATAATACAGTGGACTGGTGTGCTGTGTCACGAATCCGGTCCATGAACTTCCAATTTCATTGACTCTCGCACTACACACTGTTGCACATCACCCCGGACTACATTTTCCATCATGCATTGCACTGATTACACTCAGCACGGATTGCACACAGCTGTTTACACTGATTGCACCCAGCTGTTTCATATCACTCCCTCACTATTTAACACTCACTCTGATCCCTTCCCTCTGCCGAGTATTGTTTCAGCAATTATCACTCCCCTAGTGATAGCTACACTACAGAGCCCTCAGTCATTTCC